TATAAGTTCTAAGGTCTCAGTATAGTTACAACGGTTGCCCCACCCTTCAAACCGAAACGTATTACTGCTTCACGGCAGAAATAGGCGAGGTAGTGGTACTACCCATGCGGACTCACAAGAGGTCCTACCACCACCGGATCCTTCGTCGCAAACAACAGGTTCAGTGAGAAAGCTGACTGGTGCTTGAGTTACTTAAAAGCACTGTTAGTGGATCGGGAGGATCCGAAATGACGTGTTTGGGACGATGTCGACTGCTTACCATTCGGTCCGCAGGATCGGGAATGTAGCTACCGGCGGCCACGATGAGCGGGCTCTCGTGTCGTGCCGCTTTTTCGAAATAGCGCACTGATGCCGACAGTAGATACTTACTGATCGACTCTAGGTCCATATCATCATGGAGGTCCACGTTTCTCATCTACCATGGAGCTCCAACGACTGTCCTGCAAAAACGGGATTGTATGATTTGAAGGGATTTCAAAGTAGTGCGGGCCGAATGAGCAAACACCACACTTGCATAGGTCATGAACGGACGTATGCAAGTTTTGTAGAGTGTCTACTTGTTACGAAGAGACAACTTACTTCGCTTGCAAATCATCGGATAAATGATCATTAGTTAGATGCACTGGATAACCATCGTAAAGATGCTGCCAATAAATATCCCATTGAGTATACGATTTATTTTGGTAATAGCTTAGCGGCAAGGGAGCTATGAGTTCATCGACTCATATCAAATCCAAAGGATTAAGTTTCTATTAGCACAAGCAAAAACAATTCTTTTGATGTAGAGAAGAGAAAAAGTTGCAGAAAAGTCATTTTAAAAAAAAAGTCTCGATCACTGTGTCTGTATCTCTTACTCTACGCTACCTAAAAACCGCAAAACAAAACAAGAAAACTAGGTCGAACTATCATGTAGAGACAAAACATAAAGCTCTACAAATGTAAAGCTGAAAGATAGAGCCAAGTTACTCTTATCATAGAGTTGACGAGGCCGTTAAAAACTTTCGGAACTATCGCTTATTTGTTTGTTTGCTACATTTATTTATTGTTTTATTGAATTAAAACGTTTACCTAAATACAAACTAATAAAGTTATAATGTTTTTAGAAGCATTGACGCTTTCAGCCACCCGTTACACCATAAAACTGATACTTGAACGTGATGTCTACGGACTCCGGCAATCACTCGACATCGGTTGAGCCATGAGGCCATCACGAATCTAATTGTAATAAATAAATAAAATGTTAAGTAGAGCATGCTTTTTAAACTTGTCTCCGCTAAAACTCTTTTTGATCACTAACGTCCAGCTTCAGATTATATTGTCCTCGCATAGGGGAGAGAAACTAAAATTTAAACTTCTACGCCCCCTATTGTCTTCTGGTTATTATAGAATCCGAAAAGACATAAGATTTTCCTCTAGTATCTTCATCGTTCATCATGAAGTTGTCGCTGGGAATCTTGGCCATACAGTAATGTATAATTGGGATCGCAGCGCATACAATAAAACTATTACACTGTTCCAAAATCTTCTTCTAAATATCTTCTTATAATAAAAAAAATATCTCACATCTTTTTTACGCCTTGCTTATTCAACCGTCTTCGCTATCTTCCTTCTCTCTGTTATTCTGTCTGTCATTCTCATTTCCTTTTCTTACCGTTGTCTCTCATTCTCATCTTAACGCTCCGTTCCACGCTCTTTTCATACGTTCTTACCAATCCTACAGTAATTACAATCGGGAAGGACGAGGAAATAATCGAAAAAAAAAGAAGAAAATAGAGAAAAAGAAAAAATAGTCATGGACCTGAACCCTTACGATACAAGGTCGGAATCTCAATAGTATTGTACTAACCGCTACTCCGCCCTTTATGTTGGAACAGCAGCTCAATAGCAGTCTGGCAATGACAGTAGTACTAGCTTATTTAAAATCAGCTCTCTGCTCTGGTGAAAAAATGAGAATCTCAACCATATCCATCCGATTTATTAATCTGAAAACATCTTAACTCAATTATCTGAGGTAATTACATAGCGTATCGGTTGATATCTTTGAAAACTTTCACACAGGTTTAATTACGTGAAGCACTGTGAATTTAGTGGAAGTTTTAATTGGATACGTCAATTATTCTTACAACTGAAGCTTGAGCTTCAAATTGCCAACCGCCAGTTTTTTGTTTTCAGGTTTGATTTTTCACTGTACTATTTTCAATTAATGGATATAAGTAGTTTAGGTTATACAGGTCGTGAATATTGTCACCGCATTACATCCCCTATAAGATTTTAGGCTAGGTTTAGGAACTCAAACCAATTAAAATATTGGCAATATTGTGATCACAGTAAAGCTGTTGTGATGAAAAGACGGATTTTTTTTTGTAGACCAATAAGTGACTGATGAAATTTTAGCTAATACTAGTATTATTATCAATACTATTATTATTACTAGTATTATTACTAGTTGCTATCCACACAGCCGAGGACAGGCAGGAATGGCGCAAGATGATGCAGGAGAAAGTGATTAGAGGAGGCCACGACCCTCAGCACTGAGGATTATCGACGCAAGGAGGAGGAGGAGGAGGAGTATTATTATGGAGTTTGTTGTATTTTTAGTAAAGCTATTATTATTTCGAGAAATGTTGGTTCCACCAAAAGGTGACCGAGTTAACTCTTGACTAAAATGTATATTTATATTACATATAATAGGTAATGTATATTCCGCATAAGGTACATTTTCCTGCCGTCTGGTGTAGTGGTAAGTGACATGGTCACTTCATAAGAGGGTCGCGAGTTCGAATCCCGCCAAGGGAAGATATTTGTATGATAAATATAAATGTCTTTTCCAGGGTTATGGATGTATGGGGTCAGTTCTGATTGCATCGCCTTTTAGTCCGGACGCGTTTTTGCGAAAAACTGTCGCTGCCGTCGCGATCTTGTGTCTCGAGTTTCACTGCATTGTCGTTGTCGCACCGATCGCGGCATTGTTGTGAATTCTTGACGCACTATCGCTGGCGTCGCGACCTTGTGTCGTAAAAACAATTCGAACTTGTTGATTGTGCATTCGTAACGACAACTTCACATTATCATCCACTCATTCCATATTATTAAATTTATTTATTTTATTCGTCGAGAAAAACAGTCTCTTTCGAGACTAACCCCCCGCTGAGATCACCGCTTGTTGTGGCATTCTCACAACCCAGTGGGGCCCCACCTTCCCAAACTTCCACCCCAATCCCAGCTGACTGCCGTTCTCACGACATAGGCACTCCCCCCCCTTGCTAGCTGGCACAGCGCAGGGGGTATAACTCCTACTCAGGGGACTCGCCTTTCGGCGAGTTTGCTTAAGTCCCGGGGACGCCCCCCCCGGACACACAACCAACAATGGAAGAGGAACTATTAGGATTCCTAGGGTCACTTGCGGAAAAGTACCCGATACTTTTAAACCTCACGGCTGAATTCGCGGCCTACAGGGCCGCCCGCGCAAGTCCCCCCCCCGCCCGCGTCCCTCGCCGCGTCGTCTCGAGCCGCGCAGTCATGCCCCGCCCCCAAATCCAATTCGAGCGCACGTACGCACGTAGCGACTCAGGAAGCGCCTAGCGCCAACGAAGCGCCTAATGCACGCGACGTCGTTCACGCCGATCTCGTCCGTCGCGTCGTCCCTAATTACCAACTCAGGTTCAGACTCCGATACCGGATCGGAGATGGACTTCGAGTCCGCGACGAGCCCGCAGCCCGGAACCTCGGATGGGTTCCAAACAGTAAAACGCGGGAAAAAACGTACTCGCGTCGTGGAGTCCCGGAGCTTCACGACAAACCAAACAAAGTCAGCGACTGCCTCCCGTCCGCAGGTAGTCGTGACACCGGAGTCGAACTCCGGCCGCCGCGCAACCCCACCGCCGCGTCCCAAGCCCGCGCCCGCGCAAAAAATCGTCGTCCCGCCCCCGCTGATTCTCCAGGAGAAGTCAGCATGGAACCGCGTTTCCCAGGCCTTTCACAACAAACAAAATTAATTATACCCATGCGCGTAACGTCGCGCATGGGATCCAAATCAAGGTCGCAACGCCGGGCGACCATAGGGCTCTATACGCGTACCTCCGAAAGGAGAGCATAGGTTTCCATACCTATGCTCTTCAGGAGGACCGCGAGCTCCGCGTAGTAATACGCAGAGTTCCGAAGGAACTCGACATAGAGTACGTCAAGGAGGATCTGACCGCTCAGTCCCTCCCGATAGTAAGTATGCACCGGATGCACAACGGACGGGACAAAAAACCGTACAACATGGTTCTAGTCGCGTTAGAACCAACCCCGGAGGCCAAAAAGAAGATCGCATGTCTCTCGACAGTATGCGGCCTATCCGGGGTCACCATCGAAGCCCCCCATAGACGTGGCACTCCCGGACAGTGCCACAGGTGCCAACTCTATGGCCACTCGGCTCGAAATTGCCACGCGCGCCCCCGCTGCGTGAAGTACCTCGACGATCACGCCACGTTAGATTGCTCGCGAGTTAGGGAAACCGCGACCGAACCTCCAAGCTGTGTCCTATGCCTTAAGCAAGGGCACCCCGCAAATTACCGTGGATGTCCTAGGGCTCCGCGTGAACGTCCGACCCACCCAGCCCCCCGAACCGTCGGCCCAAAGACTCCGGTGCCTTCAGCACCGAAACCCGCCTTCGTACCGGCTGCGGTTCCCACCGTCTCGGCGTGCAATAAACCGCTGCCGTATACGAAGTCGGGAACACAAACCGCACCCCAGCCCCCGCTCGCGACACGTCCCGCGCCGCAGCCCCTGCTCGCACCTCCCCCCGCGCCCGCGTACCGTCCCCCGCAACCCTCAGCCGTCAACGACTTCGCGCTCGTACGCGACTTCGTCACCACGGTCAACTTCGACCGTCTGCGATCGTTCGCAGACGCGATGCGAAGGGCGATAACCCCCGAACAACGGCTCGCAGCCGCGTTTGAGCACATGGACGTTTATGAGTCCGTGGCCCGTACTTTCTAAAAATCTACCGGTAATCAATGGCGCAAAACGCTAGTGAGAAACCATATTCCCTTACGTTAGCATTCTACAATGCTAACGGACTCGCGCGGCAACGCGATCAAATTTACGAATTCCTCCGCGACAATCTTGTAGATATTCTGCTAGTGCAGGAAACCTGCCTGAAGCCCTCGCGTCGTGACCCGAAAATCGCGAATTACGTCATGGTTAGGAATGACAGACTCACCGCCTCCAAAGGCAGGACTGCCATTTACTATAGGCGGGCCCTGCACGTTGTCCCTCTCGATACTCCCTCGCTCTCACATATCGAGGCGTCAGTGTGCCGCATCTCGCTGACGGGACACCAACCGATCGTCATCGCATCCGTTTATCTCCCCCCCGACAAGCCCCTCCTGAGCAGTGACATCGAGTCACTATTCGGCATGGGAGACTCTGTCATCCTGGCTGGCGATCTAAATTGCCACCACACTAGGTGGAACTGCCACCGTTCAAACATAAATGGTAGGCGTCTCGACGCGTTTATAGACGACCTTACCTTCGAAGTAGTCGGTCCCCCAACTCCAACATGTTATCCGTATAACATCGCGCTCCGTCCGAGCACTATAGACCTGGCACTGCTGAGGAACGTAACTCTGCGCTTGCGTTCCATCGAAGNAGACACAGCCCACTGAGTTTCTCGCCGGATCTTCTCAGTGGGTCGCGCTTCCGACCCGGTGGTAGATTCTGCGAAGCACTGCTCTTGCTAGGGCGGTGTTAGCAATTCTCCGGTTTGAGCCCCGTGAGCTCACCTACACAAGCTAGGGTAAGCTGAAATAGCCTCTCAAGGCTATCAGCATAGGTAGGAAAAAAAAAAATGGATGTATATTAAATATATGTATGTGTATAATAAAAATCTTACATTTATTTCCGTTATCTGGTACCTGTAACACAAGTTCTTTACGAACTTATCACGGGACCAGTTAACGTGGCGTGGTTGTTAGCAAATAAAATATTTTTTCCATATTAAAATGTCATTCTTCTTAACAAATTGATGCCAAAAAAATTATAGGTAACCTAATCTAACAGAACTAGAAGACAACTTCGTGTTTCAAAAGTAACCATAGCACTAAACTTAAGAACATTTAAATTTAGCCTGCTTTAGACTTGAAAGCTTTTAAGCTCGGCAAATGGAGTCAAAACTGGAAAATCCTTGTTCGCTGACAGATAGAATCAACGTCAACGGCTTAATTGTAAGCTTTCATTAGTAGAACTCAAAGGATTTATTTAATCTTTACATTTCAGAAAAAAAAATTGTCGAGTTTCACAAATCAGTGTACTAAACTTTTTTTATTACCAGGCAAGCAGAATGAGCTTGCGGAAAACCCTTGGTTCTGAGTGGTTAATGGATCTAATAGACGTCACCGTTTGTAGGCTTGTGATTGATATCATTATACCTCATATACATCTCAACTATATTGCATTATAACTGTTTCACCTTTTAAGCTAAAACGCAAGATGGCTTCGTATCTAAAATAGGCAGGATATCGGTAGCTATCCGTGCAGAATCACAACGTACTGTATCACCACTCATTTATGGAAATTAATGAATCGTGCGTAAAATTACTGGTGGTAGGACCTATTGTGAGTCCGCGCGGGTAGGTACCACCACCCTGCCTATTTCTGCCGTGAAGCAGTAATGCGTTTCGGTTTGAAGGGTGGGGCAGCCGTTGTAACTATACTGAGATCTTAGAACTTATATCTCAAGGTGGGTGGCGCATTTACATTGTAGATGTCTATGGGCTCCAGTAACCACTTAACACCAGGTGGGCTGTGAGCTCGTCCACCAATCTAAGCAATAAAAAAAAAATAACAAAAAAATATATCGCAAAAAAAGTTAAAGTATTTTAATAGGAAGAATTGAAATTTAGAGCACCGTCATACCCAGACACGTTCAATAACCCTTTTCATTATTTAGGCCGCGACGAAAAAACACAAAAACTGTGACAAAAAAAAAACTTATGTTTTTCCATGCTCCGGCAACACTATCGGATTTTATCGTTTTAATTGTCCCATCCCTTGCATCAAAGACACAACAGTCTTTTCGCTACACTAATTGGATTGTTTACGAAACAAAAGACAGTTATTTCCCCTTTTGTAGTTCGGCAGTGACCTGTTTATTCTTTTAGTACATAAAACCGAGGTATAAAGATAGCTTTGTTTGTTTGTTTTTGTGGTTCTCCTTTGATAACGATTTGTGTATAGGCTCACGCGTGATATGACTTTAATAGTCACCAAAGCTCACAGATATGTATGCTTTATCTTAAACTTTGAAGTTTCGCCCTTATTTAAACGCAAGCTTTTGTAGCTATATTTTTTTTCGTACCAATACTGATTGCCTAGAGAGGCTATATCAGCTTTACCCTAGTGTGTAGGTGAGCTCTCGGGGCTNCTTTGATAACGATTTGTGTATAGGCTCACGCGTGATATGACTTTAATAGTCACCAAAGCTCACAGATATGTATGCTTTATCTTAAACTTTGAAGTTTCGCCCTTATTTAAACGCAAGCTTTTGTAGCTATATTTTTTTTCGTACCAATACTGATTGCCTAGAGAGGCTATATCAGCTTTACCCTAGTGTGTAGGTGAGCTCTCGGGGCTCAAAGCAGAGGTGTTAGGCCCTAGCAAGAGTAATGCTTCACAGAATCTACCACCGGATTGGAAACGCGACCCTCTTAGAAGATCCGGTGAGAAACTCAGTGGGCTGTGTCTATGGATCAATTTACTCGCCAAGCCCTTCGTCGCAAGCGACGGGTTCGACGACAACGAAGACCGGTGCTTGAGGTACCTAAAAGCACCGTTAATGGATTGGGAGGATCCGTCATGACGTGTTTTGGGCAATATCCTACTCATATCTGCTGCCAAGTAGCCATAAGTTCTCATTTTAAGAGTGTGGAAGACATTACAAAATTCAATGAAGACTTCCATCTGAAATCTCAATGTTGGCAACGGCATTCATGTCGTGATGTCTATGGGCTACAGCAACCATTAAGCCACGTGGTCGCAAGCGACATGGGTTCGGCGAGGACGGTAACCAGTGTTTGAGGTACCTAAAGCACCGTTAATGGATCGGGAGGATCTGTAATGACGATTGATTTTCTTACACGATGCTATTCCTTCACCGTGGAGGTCAATCATGAACATTTGTTAAGTACGTATTCAGAAAAATTGGTACCCGCCTGCGGGATCCGAACACCGATGCATCGCTAGATACGAATGCACCGGACGTCTCATCCTTTAGACCACGACGACTACCCTTATAAACGAAATTTACTGCAAACAAAAAGTCTGTCGTGTGTTTTTCTCTAGATACACAATCGTCTTGTTCCCGCTCTATTTTCGGAACGACATTTTGAACAGTATCTAATTCAAGACGATCGTATCTCGTGGCTCGTACGCTATAAAAACTGAGTTAGTTGGTATCTTGTTTCTAGTTTTCGGAAGCATTACGTTCCCTGATATATCTTTATAGCTTGAACGTTTTGTGTCTTCGTACGAATTCGATGGGAGTATTGCTAAGGACTTTTTTGATTAATCCTGTTATTTCTGACGCAAACACGTGTATGCTCCTTTTAGGATTAATGTGTGCTTTATTTTTTATATGTTTGAGGGATTAGTGGTGGCCCGGATGCCTTTCCAGTTTCACCAGGACAGGGGGGCGAGCAAGGGCTCAGCCAAGTGGGGCGGGATTCGCTAACAGCTACCCGAGCGCCTCTAAAGGAGACCTAACAACTCAAGAGTAACTTTTTATTTATTTTTATTTATTGCTTAGATGGGTGAACGAGGTCACATCCTACCTGGTGTTAAGTGGTTACTGGAGTCCATAGACATCTACACGTAGACGCGCCACCCACCTTGAGATATAAGTTCTAAGGTCTCAGTATAGTTACAACGGCTACCCCGCTCTTCAAACCGAAACGCATTACTGCTTCAAGGCAGAAATAGGTTGGGTGGTGGTACCTACCCGCGCGGACTCACAAGAGGTCCTACCACCAGTACTTTAGGATTAATGTCATAATTGCTACAAATCAAATGATAGAATGGTACATAATTATATCGGAGCGGGTTATGATGACTCGTTATGTGGTTAGACATTGCCGGTAACTCAAAATAACAGTTGAGACAATCAATAGGTACAGACTTTTATTTGTTTGATACAGAGGTATCAAACAAATTCACAGAGAATCACTAACGATCGTAACGAATAGATTGAGATTGGTCGCGAAACTTGGCAAGTTCCCGTTCGGGTCGGTGTCCTCCTAAAGCATAGATAATACACATCAATAAGTTATAGATAAGCAACTCAAGCACTCAACAAAAAATGTTTACGGGCGTCGGCCACTAGATGGCTTCGCTTCGGTTAGTTTCTCATTGCTCCTGTAGATAGCAGTAGCATATTATCTATCCGATATTTTATTCTTGATAAAGGATTTTGTAAATTTTCTACAACAAATAAAAATTTGTATGATTTTTATTTTTTTTATTTTCTGTATTTAGTTATACAATAAATAAATGCCTTAACTTTAACAGCATCTAAGTTTAGTGGCATCTGCTACAAGATGTCGCTAGTTTCCATACAAAAAGATATTTGTCACATAGTATCGTAGTTTCAGGGCCCTGTTCTACTGTTCTTTCTTTACCGCAAAACGATACCTCAAACGTCAACTGTCAAACGGCTTCAAACGTCAAACCATCGGTAACTACTGCTGCTATCGCTGTATCGACCTTACCCGAGTGAACTACTTGACTTTTCTGACTAAACTCGATTGATACAATTTACTAAGACTGCGACACATACATTTCAATCATCAAGCTTGTATGGTCGTCTAATAAGAACATTACGAATAGTCTCATCGTAGGTTTGAACGAGAATAAATGTATTCTAATAAAATAATGATTTTATTGTAAAAAAAGCGTGGGGTGCTTTTCAGGATACATCATTCTCGCTCACGACTCGGTCGTGCGCGGACGTGCTTTCCGATCCGTGGCCCGCTTGCGAGCCGCGTCTCTGAACTCACAGTTGTGCTCGACAGTGTAGTGACCGTGAATACATCGTGCGTACAATTCGGTAGTGCGGACGTGCCGATCCGTTGGTCGCTTGCGATCTGCGTATCGAGGTCCATTTTTGTGCGCTAAAGTTTTGTAACCGCGAACCCACCCTTACCAACTGCCTTTTTCAAGGCAACCAATCGCTACGTTCA